ATTTGAGTTTTTTGGCTGTGTTATAGCAAATGTATTACTGTGTTAGTCTGCCTTGTTTACCACGTTTGGGCATGAGTCATCACAATGGAATGCAGGGCATCAACCAATAGGCATGCAGCTTTCCTCTATACTTCTTGCTGATTGGCTGTTGGGATTTAACTTGATTAACACCTGCACAGAAGCATTTCCATACTGACAGTATGTCTGTATTCAAGTGTTTTGGTAGGTATTTCAAGCTTTCCTGCTCCAGCATTGGAATGCCGGGCATGGACGTTTTTTATTTATTTTGAAAATCAACAGTTTGCATTATGCAATTAAAAATCCTAACCAATAAAGTAGGGAATAGCTATCCAACTGTTGTTTTAGTTGTATTTTACTTCATATTATAGTTATATCAATGTAAATCATTGTTTTCCCTTGTGTTTCCCATTCTTTCCCTGCCATGTCGTAAAATGTGGTGAACCCATCGCTGTATTTGCTCCAAAGCAAATATTGGCCTTTCTAGTTTTCATCTGAGTCTGTCCTTGGCTACTTTCTTTGCTGTATGCCAGGATAATCCCATGGTGCCAGGTCTTCTGTCACAGGTCTTCTCCAAGGGGTTTTACTGTAGGTCTAACAAATGCACGTTGTAGTCATGTTTTATTTCCTTGTCTTCCCACAGAGTCTCCCACCCCCACCGCTGCCAGGACTCTCACCATGGTAGCCAAGTCACTGCAGAATCTTGCAAATCTTGTGGAGTTTGGTGCAAAAGTAAGCTATCTGCCATGGAACCCTGTGATGCTTTGTCATTGATACAGTCAAAACTGTCCAAGAAGACCACTCAGGGACTCATAAAGTCTTGTCTGTGTGTCTTCTATATACTTTGTGTCAATGGAAAAAAAATTATCTAAGAGGTTACCAAGGACATTATGATGTCCTTGAGGTTATCAACTAGTGGTCACAGGTGGTCACTTGTACAAGGCTAACTGTATTTACTATTTAGCGTAGAATCTATCATCGACTGAAAGCAAATTGTAATCCATCCCTCTCTGGACCCTTAGTTTCCTCATTTTCTATGTAAAGTATGTGTTAACAGGTCAGTGTTCTTTTCTCTATATCAATGCAGGAACCGTACATGGAAGCAGTGAACCCCTTTATTGTGAAAAACAAGGAGAGGATGATCATGTTCCTGGATGAGCTGGCGGTATGTATGCCAACAGGAGAAGTTTCTCCATAGTAAAATTATTTTCTAAGTCAATCTATGTAGTTATGTGGAACTGAAGCTTTAAGCTCCAGTTGCACATTCAGGACCTTCCAAGACTTAGCCCCTGACCACTCCCCAACCAAGGTTGGCGCTCGGTTGGGAGTAGCCTGGAATCCACCCTATTACTAGCTCCAGTTTGCTCCTCTGATCAAATCTTGGAATATATATGCATTTCCTGACTTTGATTTTTTTTCCATTCAAAGTCGACTGGCAGAGATGACCTTTCAACTAAATTAAAGACCAACTGCCAACCACAGATGATCTTGCTGAAGAATAACTCCCAACCATGGTCTAGAGAAGGTTGGGAGTCCATTTAGAGGGACTTAACATTGAGTTCTTAGCTTGTTCAAATCTAACACATTTCATGATGTTATTTCGTCCAGAATGTCCCATCCTACCCAGAAGTAGCGGAGAAGGTGAAATCTGACCCCTCCCAGGACCTGGCAACCCTGCATCAGATCTGTCTGTCTCACCTGACGGAACTACAAACCCTCAGTACCACACAGGTGAGAAACTACAAAAGTAAAACACTACAAACCAGGTTAGACACCACAAATGCAAAATCTACAATCTTTTTAAAAACCTTGATGCCATCTTCAGGAAGGGAAGCACGTGTTTGATTGTGAATTTGTCATATATTAAGAACTTCCTACAATTTCTTAGATATTTATTAAGTTTTGCTTGATTTCAGAGCCATTTGAAGAAGTTGCTGGCAGTAACCGAGCACCTCAGCAACAGACAACAACAGTACATGGGTACCGTCAAGCGATGACAGTACCAGTAGCTGCAGTACCATCGCAGTACCTGCTAGGAGGCAGTTCTTACCCACACACGGAAAGACTGATGAAAATTGCCAAGTGCATTTGGGCTGGGGCAGGGACAGGCATGGTAGGCATACATGGACATGCCCCCAGGCCTTTGCCAACAGAGCCTTACAGGTGAAAAAGGAATTGTGCATACATAACTCAAGCGTGAAACAAACTAGAATTCTTACAGGTTTTAGATACAACTGTGAAAATGTATCTCGGAGAACATACTTGGGTCATGTTTTCAGAAAATAGTAAGAGGCGGAGTAACAACATGTTACATACCGTGAAAGCAGGCATAAAAAATCCAGGACCTGACAACATACATGTAACTACTGGTAATATGGTTCCATAGTATCAAAACCAGCAAATGTGTATCACAAATTGCTTACAGTAATCAGGAGATTATAAGAACCAGTATCAGTCTAAAATCTTTGCGTAGATGTACTTGAACAGATTACATGTACTTGGCATGGGATCCTTACCACCAGGGTTAGGTACCACAGATTTTTGCAGTACATCAGCCGTGAATGTACCAGACTCAAGACAGTGTTGTGCAATTACTCAAATGATTGTAATGATATGTGCAGGCTTACATACAGGGTCCAATGGTGGCCTGGTGCAAAAGATAGGTAACCGCCAAAGGTATGCCAAGGCATTGAGAGCTTTGAAAAGCCATGACTAAATACATTAATATTACTTTATTACTGTTGAGATTATCTATATTACTGGCAGATCAATGATAACAACTTTTGTTCATAGTATTTCTAGTGATATTCAGATACCTTTTGTGTAAGTAAAGTAGTAGTTATTTGCTAAAATGAAGGCAGTATCAAGTTATTAACATACAAATATTTTGAAATTGAGAGAATTTTCAAGCAAACAGAATCTAAATGTATCTCAAACAAATTTTAAGTGTATTGAATTTCCTGACTTTTGAATGTCTTAACGTTTTGTTCTGACAGTGGTGCGACTTTGTTTTGTTTACCAAGGTACATTGTACCTGTGACATGATGTTTGTAGCTGACTGATTTGTTCATAAGTCGTGTTTAGGCTTTTTTGTAACATCACTAATCATAAGCACATACATTTTCACTGCTTTTATATGTTGTATGAAAAGTGTAGTCATCTCTATGTTACCTAGTTCCAGCACTGTCTGCAGATTTACATGTTTGTCTGTCCCACTCATTTTTGGGCTGGGGGCATGAACAAAAGAGCTACACGCCACACATTATTAATTTTTTTTGTGAACGACAAACCTACCAGATACAGTTCATGAAGCAACAGTTACTGTGATTTTTCTTCTTGTCACTCTGTACAGAAATGGTGGAAAGATCTCATTGATATACTAGTATTGATCACTTCCATATTTCCTGAAACTTGGTTCGTTGGTGTCCCATGAATTTTTTTACCAAACATTATTTTTCACAGCTTATCAGTCAACTACATGTGATCAAAGGCTTCGGGCAATGCCAATACCTCTTTGGAATAGTCTGCAAACAATGCAGGAGATAGCTGTAGGGTCTGCTTCAATACCTGCATATTTGTATATTTATATTTTTATACATGGAGATGAGATACAACCAACAATCATGGTTTATGATTCAAAAATATTGTATGAGCAAGCCATGCTCGGTGTTACATGTGTACATAGCAAAACTATTGTGAAAAACATTGTAGAAAAGCCTTTTTTATGATTGTCGTGCCTTAAATTTCTGGTACAGCTGATTGTAAGGAAGCTGGGGAGGTGGGAGGGGGGGGGGCAAAATGTGAGATTACTTGAATTTAAAAGATGGTGTTTATGACTTTTGCAATACTCTGTTTATGATGATTTGTCGAAATTCCCACTGCTTAAAGTAGGCATGTGTCTTATAGCCTGGGCACAGTCGTAGTGCAAAATTCGGCTGTCCTGTTACAGAAAATGCTGTTTTAGATCCTTGTTGGCAGTTGCTTCTGTCACAGCCAGCTTGAAAGTTATCAGCTAGCATCAAAAACATACAAAGGTCCACAATGAATGTGACCATGCGGCTAGCATTGAAGTACAGTAGCTGTACACAATTAGCAACATTAGTGTGCTTTACGGGATAGTGATATGTCATCACATATGTTATGAAAGCTTTGTAACAAAGATCTTAAATTTATGCTTTCACTTTTGACAATAGTACATATAATCAGTTTCCATGTGATTAGTTTTTAGCACCAAAGCTTCTATACTTGATAAAGCTTTGTTGTCTCAAAGAATGACGGATGAAGACGGATATGTAGAGCACTCTGTACGCCAATGAAACGATGCAGTAAATGAAATACAAAAACCTAATCTGTTTTGTCTTCCTTCTTTCATTGAGTGGTAAGTGATTAGCCTCTACCAGGCTTGGGGAGGCGGCTGGAAAGAGTAGAAATAGAGAGATAAGCATGCAAAGCGAGTTTGTCCATTGAGAGAACATTTTTGGGGTGCGGCGAAATGTTCTCTCAACGGACAAACTCCCTTGGCATGCTCATCTCTCTATTTGGCCGATTTCTGCTCTTTCCAGCCGCTTCCCCAAGCCTGGTAGAGGCTAGCTAGTAAGTGATAGTGAATTGAAAGTGATCTCGAACCAGTTTAGCCCACTGGACTGAAGATCTACTCTACCACTGGCTATGACAGAGAAGACAAATATTACATGTTCAGCTAAAAAGCAAACAGTTTGCAAATATTGGTTTTGGCAAATGGATATACATATGTACATGTACGTAAATGTAGATAACAGATACGCAACTCCAGTTTCAACGTAAGCACAGCACATTTCCTGAGATGTGAGAGTCATGTTCTTTCAAAATTTGTAACATAATGTACAGTATTGCGCAAAAGTTCTTTGAAACAAACAATTTCTTTTTAGTTAACGAGAAGAAAGTTGTCCTAATATGGGTATTAACCATTGATAGCATAGTTGTACAAACAATGTGATGGGTGTGTCCACGTCACGCTATTGTCACGTTACACTGATTCAATATTGAATGTTATGACCTTAAACGACCTGTAGGTCGCGGGCGTACGGTCAGCGTTTTATGCTTAATTCAGAAAAGCAGCGGCTTCCTTCGTAAAATTACGTTTTAAATAGATTCAACCTGCTGGCTTCAGTTTAAGCTACATTCAAGACGCTACGAATTAAGGTTGAAATGACTACTGATTTCGCTCTATGGAAAATGGCATTCAGGTAAATATCATTCCTGGAGGAAAGGGGCAAAATAAATAGCTTTGTAAAATGCGCACTCCCTTGAACGTTTTTTGTTGCTACTGGCTGTGAAACTACAAACGACATGGAAACAAGTCGCCCATTATTTTATATTTTGTCAATACTGAGGTGGTTTTATCTGACTTTGTGGAGCTGTGAGGTGTAAATACACAGGGTGGAGGTGTTGCGACCCAACAGCAAAGGTTCGAATAGTTTTTTAGCTAGCCCCTACTCAGATCTACACTGCCTGCCTACTTCCTTACCACCTGCTTATAAATGCAGTGGAGGATCGATGACATGTTCTTTATTTGTCATTGCCCTCGTTACAGCACCGAAAGAGATAAGTTACTAGTATTTTAAATGGCCACCAAAATGTTCCCTAGCTTTATTCACCTCCCCAGCCTACAAAAAAAAACCTGCATTTCTACTAACACATACATCTCCCAAAATGTCGGCACAGAAAAGAAATCAAACCCAACAGTAGCTATATCCAAAGCATTTAGCATTACATGAATTTGCAATACACTTTCTATAAGTTGCTTGCTTCTCTCCGGTACGCGATATGTTCCTCCAGCTCCAACAACAAGTAGCACAGTCCCTAGCTGTAGTATCCACAGCTGCTTCGTCGTGTCCTAATCCAGTACACGGAGCACAAATCTCTTTTTTTTTCAAGGAACTTGTTCAGAGTGGGCTCCCATTCATTCATCCTGCATTTCAAGTCAATTTATCGATCCCAAGTAGCGAAAATCGAAGTTGACAATTTGTAGCAAAGCCAGTTCCGATGCATCATGTCAGTGCAAGGAGAATCAACCTCTTTACAAATTGGAAACTTGGCGAGTTTTTCGCGTCTTTTAAGTTCTTCCTCCTACTAGTCCTAGATCAAGTTGTGAAGCCGAACATGGCACAGCTACAGACGATCGTTTCGAAGCTTGTCTCTAGCTGTTGCAGCTGACATTCGTCCTTGCACGATTAGGGGAAGGTCAAGGAGGGATTTATCCAGAAGTCCTTGGGAAGGTAAAGTGCCAGCGGCTTTTGTGCAGGCGATGTTTGAACATGACACCGCGTAACGCCCCTGTTTAACGCCTTCATGGCAGCTACATGGCACCTTTCTTACAAACTGCGACGTCATTATTACACCCTTTCGACGCTTCTAAAGGGATTGACCATTTGAATATGACACTTTGGAACGCCCCAGTTTGGTTTAACCTCATTCAGGGCAGTTACTGCATGGCACCTTTCTTGTGATCACAAAGTGCGATGTCATCCTTTGGAAGTTTCTATTGGATTGCTTTTTTAATTGGTTGGAAATGTCGTTCGTAAGAGAAACATGGAATAATGTTTTTTCCAGTCAACAACTCTCTCTTCCACTGTGTTCTTTATGTTAACCAGCTAGTGCTGTTTATTTTCTTGTCATGTAGTGCGACTTATGGCTACGTCAAGTTTATGATTTTTTTTTGTGAAAAAGAAAAAAAAAGTTTAAACCTCCTTGCTAAGACGACGAAACCTTCAGTGAAGTTACATATTACAGAATTACAAAAATTGTGTGAAACACGATTTTAGCCTCATTCTTTGGTATTATTAGCTCCTTCTTTGAAAACAACTCAGGAAATGTGTTACTCTATAGCTGGCTAACTCCCCTGGCTAATCATTATACTACAAGTATTTGGTGAATTTCTTGTTTCATCAGTACTTTCTAGAAATCAGACCGCTCTCGTGCCTTTCCCGCCACACACCTGGCCAGTTCGACCAATCATGTAGCAGACCAATCACGTGATATCAGTGACGCTTTCTCATTTGCATACTCCAGGTAAGTTATTAAAATATGGCGGACGAGCAAGTCATGAGTTAGCAAAGTCAATTTATGCCTTAATTTAGTGCTATATCGGGTCTCACGACAGGTTCCTACGTCACCCAAGACGCCCAGAAGTGTCCTTACAACTCGACGGAACTGCAGAAACCGCGTGGAAGGAAGACTAGGTGATTTTAAACGGGGAAAACAAGTTCGGCAAACTCTCAACTTGAACATGCTGGAGTCGGCGGCGGTGCCCGTTGGTCGGTAGGAACGTGTCATGTGGATGGCGAGATGTTTCTGATGCCTTTCCGACGACTCGCGGAGTGAGCAGAGATGTACGATCTATGTGCAAGGTGACTGATAGCGAGAGGACAGACCGACGCTGTTTCCCGTGCGAGTTCAGGACGCCGAACCCGTGAGCTCTCGATGAGGGAGGGTACCGCCACCACCACGTAACGAATACCTTTGTGCACAGACAATGTTTGAACAAGGAGTTTCCGCAATGGAGGGGCGGACTGCGAAGGCCTAGGCTAGGACCCCGGGTCCGATCACGTCGTCTTGGCAATTTTATTCTTGGAGTAATACATCAATCCCGTAAGGAAGTCGACCGGGAAAGGCGCCGGGGGCACGCTCACAGCGACTACCATGGTCGAGAATGGTATGTATTTGTTTTGAACATTTTGGGGTGGCCCAGTGTTTTGAGAGAGAGGGAGAGATTTCCCATGGTTGCGTGACACGGGCCTCTTTGGCTGTGGAGGGCTTTGGCAATATTAATGAGCCCTCTTACCGCACAAAAACACTTCTGAGCAGGCCAGAAGAGCCTGTGCTAACATTCAGGGGAGCTGTGTGCGTCCGGGCCAGCTCCCAGCCCTCATAACTACCAGGCAGTTTTATGCTCCGCTGTGCGAAGCAAATCTGCCCCAGATAAATATAAAGTAGGAACAGGACACCAGAACCAAACCCTCCATCTCTTGACACAACCAGGCAGATCTAAGAGCAAATACTTAAGAAAATGCGAGGTCGGCATGTTAATTGTGATAAAAGAGGTGCATCATGTGCAAAATATTTGTGGACGATTAATTTGTGAAGGTGTGTTGGGACGGAAACATCACACACCCAGATCTGTCGCCTCACCTGGACCGCTCAGGTGTATCATGTCAACATGGCAACTCGACAACTTCTCATGTTTCTCATTTTCTTTGACCGGCTCAAGAGGTCCTCTCCCGAGAACATTCCTTGCTCAGGCTAGCGGCTAGCCCTTGCTAGTACTTTTAGTAAAGATGCTGACACAATTTGGCTGCCCATTGCAGAGCCACGATTGTTTTGTGAGGTGATTAGCCCGGGGGTAAGGGTCACCCCGGATCCGACCGACAATTCTTAAAGTGTGACGTCCCCAGCATAGGTTCCCACCCTGGTCAGCTAGCGGGAATTTTCGTGTCCCAGATTTGAGGCACATTAACCTGAGAAATGGACGATAATTACCCAGACTTTACGAGGTCCTCAGGAGCCGATTACCTGTGATTTGAAGTAACGGTTGCCCAACTTCCTCGGATAACCAAAGTTTGTTCCTTTGTGAAAACAGTTTTCTCTCGTTTTAAGTGAACAAAGTAACTGGTCACACCCATACACCCACAGTACTGCCTGGTCTTGGGCTTAAAATTTGTTATTTGGAATACCGTAGGTTTAACTTTAAGTTTGCTAGTATTTATTTCATTGGGATAGTGTTATATTACCTGTTGGTGATTTTCAATGACCCCTGGGGGAGAAACCCGACATAAAATAACACAATATAATAACAACATATGATCAAGAGAACAAAGGTCAACTAAAATAAATAAACCTACATCAATAAGTAGAAATCATGGGTTCAGCTAACCTTAAAGTTTAGGTGCACAGAAACGATTTTGTGTGTACAACATGCAAAGTGTAAAATGCCAGTTAAACCTAATTATAAATCTTTCTGCTTTACTGAGTTTGAGTCTGGAATTCTACAGCTAACTTAAAAACTCTTAACAACATAAATAACAAACATTTAGGTTTTACCATTTTTTTTCAAACAGTCAAGAATATATTGTATACCAGGATCCAGTGTACAATAGTGCCTTTCTCTGCATATTCATAATCCTACACAAATATCAGTTCAAGCCAGAATATGTTACCTGGTCTTCCCACATGTTTGTTCAGTGAGTCATCTCCATTTACTTTATTTACCTTTGTATGAAAGCTTTATGGATGCAGCAAAAAGGACTGACTTTCCTACATTATTTAAACAACAAGAAGAAGTACAAAATAAATCTTATAATTCCACTTACTAAACAATAAGGGTTAACATCAATTAATCTGTAATACCTTGTTATAATCAGGTGGGGCTAATTGTGGGCTTCAGTGTCTTTTCTAATAACAAAGGAATGTTTAAAGTATTTACCTATTTTTGCATTGTGGGAGTTATCACACCCAGAGGTTTATTACACATATTCAGATCTGCTTGTGGCATAATGAGTCTCTTGAATTCTGTTTGTATAACTTAATTGTTTACTCAACAGTTGGTGGTAAAAAACAGATAATTTCTAGTTTGGAATATTTTTTCTTGATCCCTTATACTTTATAAGTTAGACACAACCCATAAAGGTGCTATAGTCCGGACATCTACCTTCTAGATCCAGGATTCCTGTATCATATTGGCTATGTACATGCATGTATAGTATACTGTATTGTTTTAGGTCATGACCTATGACCCTATCAGATAACCATGCCAGGTCATTGCTAAAATAAGGCCAATTACTGTAATTTGTTACTTTAATTAGAGCAAGTTTCTAGTGGCTGGACAGGTGGTCTCTAAGAAACTTAAGGTAACCTCTCAAGAGACCAAGCAATAGTTGTCACTGTATTGATCCTTAGCCTGTCTGCTTGATTTATTATATTATAATAAGAGAAAAACGGAAGTGGGACAATAGCCCATTGCTGTGAAAAAAAAGGGAACAAAAGTAATATCATGGTAAGTCAGAAATGTCACGTTTGTTGTTGCATAACATGGGAGTGTTTGGTCCCACCCCGGAGCGGCAACCTGGGCCTACCTCTGACATTTTGCACCCACTCACTTCACCAAACCCTCCCTCCTGCACTTCACAAGATTTACAGCTGATTGATTACAAGCACATGTCGCTGTACCATCCCCTTTTCTGGACATTAACCCAGATACACACTGTGGGCCGCTGAAGATCCCAACTTCTCACTGCCAAAACTCCACGGACACCAGATTTGTCAAGCAACAATTAAGGGTAGGGCCAATTAGAGTAACAATGCTGTATCAACTTAATGCAGTAAAGTTGTTTACCGCCTGGCCATGCCTTCTCTTCAGAGATTTGCGGCGTCTTTGACGGGGAGTCAGTGAACTCAAAATGCCCCACCCAGAAAAAAGCAGCAGCTGCCAAGTTTCTGCATTAGCAGAATTGTTGTCTTATAACTTAATCCTGCTCTATCGATCTACGCTCATCATTCATTACATCCTTCGTTGTTTTATAAGTTCTAACCCAGTGAAGGTAGTCTTTCAGACATGATTTGTAAGTGGTGTTTAACTTTAAACTTGCACATGACCGACTCACACAGTGGGTTGTTTTGCGGATCCCCAACAGTGACAGAACAGTTGGTTGTAATTGCTTCCACTTGAGCTCGGAGAACTAGGTGAACTAATGAGCCGCACACCGCAAAGTTGCACACGTGGCGGGGGAGTTAAATCTCATTAACTGCAATTATGTCTTCATGAGGGCCTGCAAGGGGGGGTAGTGATTACGAATTACGCAAAATTTTCGCCGCCTATTACGAATTACGTTAAAGTCTCAGAGCTGATTACGACTTTACGATTGGCGGCTAATGTCCAATTACGAATTACGTTGATTTTTGCGGAGGCTGCCTACGAATTACGAAGTCTAAAACGGCCTGATTACTACGAAAAAGGCCCTCCTTCATGTCCTTTGTAATGAAGGTACTACGGTAATAATAGAAACCGTACTTGAGTTGATCATTGCACCAAATGTTGTTGAAGCTTTATTACAATAAACACTATAATTTATACTTGAGGGAGAGATCTAGAGTTCAGATGAAAGTACTTGCACTCTTTTCAGCTGTTGTTGCCAAAGTATGTACAATCTGGAGCTGATTCATATCCCTAGTGATAGATCATACCCGCTCTGCTGCAGGAAACATGAAAATTACCTGCATCACAAAATTTTAACTTGCACTACTCAGAATTTAGGAAGTGTGGATCATACTAAAAATTGTTCACAAACTTTTTTTTCTTTTATACTTCATATGTAGTAACAGTTGATAAAGCAAATAAAAATCCACATACACATGTCTGTAAACATGTAGTACATGGGCAGGTGCAGGTTAGGTTCAGGAAGTAGAAATACCAACACAACTCCAATTTTACCTGCACTACTCTGCATATGCGTAACTAGGTCAGGTTACTTGAGGTAGCTATATTGAGATTGCGATATTTCCAGCCCTGGACTCCCGGTTTGTACAGAGGCGAGTCCTGAGTGAGGAATAGATATGTAATGCATGGTACAAGATAAGCTGGGAGACCTGCCAAGTAAAACTGAGCTGACCTGTGTTGAAGGGTGGAGACCTTTGGCAGGCCAGGGAGAACCTACTGTGTCAGTTTTAGGCCATGCTGGCTCCTTTATTCTATGGTTGACATCCATGCTCCGCTTATCACTTCCCTAGTTTGAAAAACAAGGCGTCTGATTGGTCAATTGGCTATATGATATTATATTTTCATTGCGTTAGATTTGGTTGTATGATAATATGTTTTCGTCTGGCAACGTGGTAATATATTTTCATGTACCGGTATTAGATTGGTAGGATTGTTTTTTTCTTTCAAAGCTGTCATTCCCATCACTAAATCTATCTAATCAGGGGACGCCAGTGGCTGGACCATGATAAAATAGAGTATTTGGCGTACATCCAAAGAACAACCTACTATTTTCCTGGGGGGTACATATGGTCTATGCCACGATAGCTCATTTTCCATGTCTGTATTCTGTCATCTTTCTTTCCTTTGTACAATTGTGACTAGTAAAGTGAAATCACAATTTTTTCTCAGTTCACTTCTCGTCCTAGTAGTACTAGTTCTACTTCAGAGCAATGGGGCATGTTTTTTTGATGACGTATTGTTGTCGCCACGAGTATGATCAGAGGCAAGGAAGCAAAGCGAGATAAGCCGGGGCTTGTGTGACCTCGTCTATAGTTCGTTCGGCTGAAGAGCTGAGAGAGGGAGTGTCAGCCCTGCAGCCATGGGGAGGATATTCCAGCTAATCGAGTGGTGTTCCAAGACTCTTTCCTCAGTGGATTCTTACCTGAAGTCTCTAACAGGCAAGCAGGGTTTGCATGGCCAGGGGAGACCACATGGTAAGGGAGTATATACTAGTTAGTAGTCAACCGCTAGAGTGACTAAAAAAATTGCCGCAGGGTTGGTACTTCCTGTTTATTTCAAGGGCCTTGCAGATATTCTAACTACATTGTACAGTAATTCAGTACAGGAAATCTTGAATGCAAAACTTCATGGCAAGGACTGTCTTTTTTTAAACATAGTGAATAGGACAAAACATTAGTAACTGACTATAATGTGATATAGCATACAGTAGTAGTAGTAGTATCATCCTTTGATTTGGAGGGAGATAACTGATGTAGCGTGTGGGTGTGGATGGTAAAATATTCTGGATGAGGAAATCTGTCTGACATTGACTTTTGCCCACTGCCAATTCTTAGCATAAATGGCTAAAACCAGCATTTACAGAACTGTTTTCCATCTGTGACATCATAATAAAATTCATATTTTGCCTCCCAGATATCAGTATGCTATGGGATAGGATTGATTCAACTTACTACACTGGAAGAATGACAGAAAATTGGCTTTGAAAGTCCAGTTTTGCTTCCCTGAAGTTGCAGTGGACACCTTTAAGTTAACAGATGGGCGTTTTGAATGGGAGACTTGGCTTATCACAGCAGAGCTGACAAATGGGGGTGAAAGGTCATGCCTGCAGGGCAGGTCCCAGGGTACCTGTGTGGACTACTGGTGTTCATGTACATGTGGGACAACCACTTGTTATCCTACAGTTGGTCTGCATCACAGTACATGGACAAATGGACCTGTCTTGTTGTGTTGTGTTGTGTTGTGCCTAGTAGATGCTTTACAGGGGCAATTTACAAGGCGGACTACTAGTACTAAGTACCTAATACCAGCCCAGAAAAGAACAAGAAATAGCCATGCCTTCAAGTAGAAGAGTTATCAACCAAGGGTTGAGGTGTTCAAAAATTCATTCTTTCCTAGTAGAGTGGAATTCGCTGTCACCAAGTTCAGTAGGGGCATTCTCATTAGATAGATTTAATTACAAATTACAATGTTTAGAGTTAAATGTTCAAGGGTTAGGTTTAACAAGTCGTTTCACAGTGTAATATAGCTAGCTGCTGCCGTGCCACGTGCCTGCGAAGCTGGTGCGTTACGCCAAAGGGCTGTTGTACCGGCTAAACAGATACAGAATTTAATGTAAGTTGCAACTTTAAGAAGGGGTGCTCCTCTCCATGTATGTGTTTTGCTAGAAATACAATTTGAAGGACAGTTGATTTCTGTCTGGGGGGAGTAGCTGTCCCAAACTTCCACGTGGGTGTCCCAGGGTTAATGGACAAAGGAGTCCAGTCTGATTGGCGGAAAAAGCAGTCCAGTCCGATTTGGGGGTGGAAACCCGAAGTACTCATAGAAACTCGAAGTACCCATAGAAACTAGAAGTACACACACAAGAAAAAATTGTGCCTATGGTCTTTCGTAAAATTTCGTAGAAACCACCGGACTGCTTTTTCCACCCCAAAATCGGACTGGACTGCTTTTTCCGCCAATCGGACTGGACTTCTTTTTCCATTAACCCGGGTGTCCCAAACCACACTGGATATCCCATATCCCGCTGAGATCACTTGAAGTTGAGATCACCTCAGATTACGTGTTGTTATGACCACACATTTATTCCGCAATGTGTTGAAGATCTGATCAGCACACGGTTTCGTGTTGAAACGGCTGATTTAGTTGATGTAACCGTTGATCCAGGAGTAGTACCTGTTGACCTTGGTGTAAACGCCCGGGAAGTTCCGCTCGGCACAGCCGTAGCCCCAGCTCACGATGCCGTACACCGTGCTGCCTCTCGTGACAGGGCCGCCACTGTCTCCCTGTATGGATTCATATGGGCAACGCAAATCACTCGGTTACTTCTGTAAAAGACCGTAGTAAGAAGGTCTAAAACAAGGCCTCAGCAAAGTACTTATTGCCTTAGTTCAGTTGTCTCTCTCTTCCACCAGAAAGTCACACGGACCTACTTGATAGCCACATGAAGTAAACAAGAATTCGTAAGACCTACCAACACATCAAATATCATCACAATCCATGAAGGGGTTATGAAGTTATGCTGACTACAAATGTGTGGAAACATTTTATCTTACAACCCCAAAAGTCTCTAAGTCTAAATTGGATCAACATTTTACGGGACAGAATGATTCCCTACCACTCAATGCACTCAGGCACTAGAATCTTTGGCGTCAAAAATAAGCGAAAGTAGTTTGGTCGATAGGAACAGAATGGCGTTACCTGGCAGGCGTCCTTGCCACCATCCATGTAGCCGGCACAGAACATGTTGGAGGTGATCGCACCGTCGTAAGAGTTAGCACCGTTACAGGTAGAGTGGTTGATGACAGGCACGTTCACCTTCTGCAGCCTGTCCGGGTAGTCAACTAGAAGTTGGATCAGAAAAATGACTTTGGTGGTGATGTCACACAAAAGGACCGGCAACAAAATAAGCACAGTTCACCAATACAGGCATAATTGTAATTGATTGAAAAATACTATGATTAATAAAATGTTACATTTTGGTGTCACAAGTCCCTGCACAGCTCACCAATACGTGCATAATTGTAATTAATTGAAAAATTGAAAAAGTCCCCGCGCAATCAATTTGCAGTATTTTCTTATGGTGATGACCGTGAGTCACTCGCAATAGATCAATGCTATAGCCCCGCCCACCCCCGTCAAAAAGTACAAGTGGAAATACGTGAGGGGTGCACAGCCATGTGACTGGCAGACGGGATCGACCCGTGGACTGTAGGTTATATTACTTACTTCCGAGGGAGACCGTGTTTCCCCAGCCGGTCACGGTGAGCACGGTCCCATCGGCCACCATGGAGGACGGCACGGTCGCCGGGCTCACCCAGCTGTTAATGGTGACGGGACTCCTCAGCTGGATCAACATGATGTCGTTGTCCACGGTATTGGGGTGGTAGTCTAGACAAGCAGAACAAAGCGTTCGTGGTTGTAGAGATTATTGGTACATCAACAATCAGCATCAAGCAGCAGTACATCATCACTAGAAATAAAACCTCGTCGCAGTGTTCGAAATACTTTTTTGAGCCAGGTAGCAGAGTGTGCTACCTAGGGCAAAAACTAGGTAGCGCATCAGAATTTTAGGTTGCCTGGTGGTGCCCACACAGAGAACGCTTGCACCACTAAGTTCAGCGGTACATATTTTCAGGTAGCGCGGTGTGCTACCTGGGTCTGGGAGAAACTAGCGCACAAGGAAATCAGGTTGCAATTGCTAGTGCGCTACCTAGTATTTCGAACACTGTCGTCGTATCAAGTGAGGACATTTTTAAATGGCACCCATGGTCTGTTGTAACAAGGACATTCTGTGATAGAACCTCCTTGGTTGTAAGTTTATCTTCATGTAGCTCTTTTACAAAAAATGACTGTCCGTACATGCACGACTGTTTCCCCCATTTATTTGATCAATTTTTTTCTGTCTGCAAATGACACAGGGATATAACAACAAACAGTAGAATGAAAAAACGATGTAAGATATGTGATCTTAGCCCAATAACACATAGCGTTACATGTGCGTCTCCAATAATGGCATAGCATAATAAGGATAAGGAATATATAATGCATTGTTGCTTACAGGGATGAACGATGACCCGTGAGACATGTTTGACCTGCTCGTGATCGTTGTGTTGGCCGCTCAAGTCGTGCTCTCCCAGAACCACAGTCAGACTGCTAGCACTGCAGACAGCAATAACACAACATCATATACTCTCAGCTGAATTTTAGTATATCCAGATTGTAGCGATACACAGTGGTACACAGACAGCTGGTACCGGTGTCGTGTACATAACACATCAATTGCACATTTCAAAACAGCGTCTATGCAAGTATGAATACATACAAATCAGTGAATACAGGCCTAAAAGAAATACAATGATCATGCGCGTATATATGGTTCCTTCAACGATTGTTGCAATTGCACAATCAAAATTCAAGAATAGTTCATCCCAGTTCAAGTTTGTGCAGTCTGGCCGCCATGATGTTGTGATTATGACTACCTTCTCGGGACAACTGATGCTTCAGCTCTGCATGTGTGAGCAGAAAATGACCGCACTTTATGTGACTCTTTTTTCGATCTTCTTTTGTGATGAAGTGGCCAGTGAGGTGGGACAAGGCCATGTACCAGCTTGTACATAACTATCATGGGGTGAGAGACTCTTCTGGTCGATCGTCTGTCCTATTCAAGCTCCTGCATGAATGTCCTTGAGGGTGTTCGTTTCAAGGCTCTGCTGATGGACACCCGGATCGGTAGAGGGACCTCGCGCTAACATCTTCCACGATGAACTACCGACAGTAACTGTCCGGGGTCCCTAAGCGGCACAGAGGCGTACTCCGGGTCGGACCATCGTGTTGAACGTCATTTCAAGTGCCTTCCGGGACAGCTTGTCTCGGAGCCTGATGCACAAGATCTTGCATTTGTTTGGATGTATCTTCAGTTCAGGCCCAAAGTCACGGAAACCAAATGGATACAAATTGTTGTGCCACTTCCTGTGCCGTGGATCCCAACTTGTATAGAGACGCATCATCAGCAAAACGTTGTAGGTAGCAGTTTTATTTTATTGAATGACAAGGAATTAGTACTCAGAATTCTTCTCTGTGGCACACCTGCCCCTATATATCCCTAAGTAGTCATGCCGTCCAGAGACTGTCATCTGCTTGACTTTGGGAACAGTGTGGAGTGATAGCTGAGCTCAAGGACGTGCAAACGCACGATGAGAATGACTTACCCAACTATACAAGAAGTGAAGAAAGCTGCAGTACCTGACTTCGCAGTGAGCTGCGCTGAGAACCCACTCAGAGTTGAGGAGGGTGCCGGCGCAGAAATGGCTGTGGTGCTCCTGCAGAGACGCCTGCCAGGGGAATTGGCCTCGGGTAGCCGTCGTCCCGCCGACAATGCGGTCTCCATTCTCCTCCGCCGCTGGATAAAAGTACGAAAGACCAAAACTACACCCTCCGCAGTCAAAACTGTGAATATACCCCATTATCTATTTTATTTTTACATTATTATTTACAACAAGCTATTCTACTGTTTTACGCACAGAGGCTACGGAAGAGTGTAAAGAAACAGCCTTGCCGCAACATAGCCGCATTGTAGTTTTGGCCCTTCGTACAAAGGGACTTTCCTTTCAAGGAGTACAGCCAAGGCGCCTAATCATCCTTAACTTTTCTGTTTACATCAGTCAATTGGCCAATTTGTTTCAAATTCGGAATTTGAATTTGGAAAATTAATAGAAATGTGGTTCTGGTAAGTTCTGGTAATATCATAGGCTTTGGTAAAATTTACCGTAACAAATATAAGTTGCATACAGGAGCTAGCTGTATGGCTCAACACCATATGTCGTGCTAGAAAATCTACTAACATCGCGATGTTAGTAGATTTTGTGACACAGCAGAAAAACACCTCGCCAGACTAGACTGCGAGCTCTATAGGACATTTTCGGACGGATCACTGCGTGATGTTTAGAGACCTGACAATCACTTCTAAAGTTCGAATTTGGGGCGAAAAATAATCTTGACTCTGGTGATTTTGAAATTCGGCGACCCTCTGACGATCAACAAATTCCGCTCAAGGCCGTTGGCATTGTGGAGCTGGCTATAGCACAGAGGACAAAATGCTACCTACCAGCGTAACAGACAAGAGCGATGACGACGAAAAGGCGCATGGTGAGTATCAGTCGGTCGGCGTGAAGAGGCTTCTCCCGCAAATTGAGTCAAAGACTGGTGGCTTAAGTGTACGTGAACAATGAATATATACACACAGTAACCATCAGATAAGGTACCCTAGGTACGTAAGATGTCTGAACAGGTGGTGACTTTTCACACAGGTATGTGTGCGTCTGAAGATAAGGATTAGCGTTAATCCATTGCAGATAGCCTTTAAAAGTTGAAGATGTGGTGTAGCTTTGATAACTATTGACCAGTCTACAGGACCTTGGCGGAGGTGATCCTTTCCCTTGCGTAGTTTGTACGTTATTTCTAAAGTAGTATGTATAACAAATTTGCTACCAATTCGCCTTCTTCCCGGCGAGGTTATGTAACTAAGTCATTGCGTAAGTGTTAAAAATAAATAGTCACGAGTCTGCTTTTCTTCTTGATACGTAAGTGTTGGTGGATCAAACCCTGGTGTTATGTTATAGTAAGCTAGTAACCATTCTTCACGGACCGGCTTGACGGGCTGTAGTCATACTGACCATAGGCCACTTTTTTCTGTCAGTCTATATTTTTCTAGCCGGCCTTTCTGACTTCGGCCGTCCGTAGATGTCTCGACTCTCGCTCTCCTCTTCGGGCGAAGTCATTGAAACCATCACGGTATATGACACCAATTGGCCTTGACACCTAAGAGATACCGGGGAACTCACAATCTATGGTTACCAGGCTAGTGTCATGGTTACATCTGAGCACATACTTTACTATACACCTCTGTACAGGCTGGTAAATAAACAACCCTAATGGGTACAGGATACTGTCTATCAGTGTTCTAATTATACCATACCACAGGAAGGGTGTGGTTTTTATAACCCAGCACAGTTTCATCATGGCAGTATAAGGAGCACCATGAAAATTAAACCACTGTGAACATTCAAGATCTGCAGAATTCCAACTGGAAGGGGAACTGGCTGTTTATGCAAACATTTAGAATAAAAAAACTCAACTGTTACTGGAAAGAGGACTGAGTATAACAAACAAAAATAAGATTTTTCCAGGTCTGTCGTTCATTCTATGAGTATATCTCTCTATGACTATTCTTAGCATATTCTACAAAAGTTCAAGGTCTCTATATTAACATAATATATGCATAGTGATGTTAACCTTTAAGTAAATTACACGTGTCACAAGGTATAAAATTCCCATCATTCACCATTAAGGAAGCATGGAATTTACACATTGATTATGCAAATTAGCTCATGACTAAAGCATCTTCAGGACGAAAAATACAAAAACCGGAAGTTCTGCTGCAGTATCAAGGTCAGTGACCAGGAGGCCCATATTTGACCTTGACCTTTGTCTTCCTATGGCCTACCAACACACCAAATATCATCACAATCCATAAAGGGGTTATGAAGTTATGCTGACTACAAATGTGTGGAAACATTTTATCTCACAACCCCAAAAGTCTCTAAGTCTAAATTGGATCAACATTTTAAGGGACAGAATGATTCCCTACCACTCAATGCACTCAGGCACTAGAATCTTTGGCGTCAAAAATAAGCGAAAGTAGTTTGGTCGATGGCGTTACCTGGCAGGAGTCCTTGCCGCCATCCATGTAGCCGGCACAGAACATGTTGGAGGTGATGTCACCGTCGTAAGAGTTAGCGCCGTTACAGGTAGAGTGGTTGATGACAGGCACGTTCACCTTCTGCAGCCTGTCCGGGTAGTTAACTAGAAGTTGGATCAGAAAAATGACTTTGGTGGTGATGTCACACAAAAGGACCGGCAACAAAATAAGCACAGTTCACCAATACAGGCATAATTGTAATTGTAATTGAAAAGTACATGTACATGTACAAGTATATACATATACTCAGTATGCCAAGAACTGCATTTTGGACTCTTAGTACTGAAGTCAAGTGAAAAGTACAAAAGACAAAATTGACAGATCGTATTTTATTCTAGTGTGTAATAATTGTTTTGGATAGAATGTATGTTGATATATCATTTCTTACATGCTTTTCTCCTGTTTCAGAAGGATGTCGTATGGCCTTCTCACCCAGCGAAGCTCCAGTCTACGTAAGTAGTCACAACTTTCTTCTTAGGATATCTGTTTCCCGTGTCATAGGTGTGAAACTTTGCCAGTCATAAATCGTGTATAACTTCATGATTGGCCAAACCAGGCTACCTGTCGGAAGGACGTACTTGTACTGTGGGACAGTCCCCCTAACTTCAGGTATAATTTGACTTTTCCACTTTTGTGGGCCATTGTATCATACGGGGCATCACCTTGATGCCACTGCCACATTTTTTGCGTACCAATAATTTGCATACCCCTACAGTACCAAGAATTGATGTAAACAAAAACAGTGGTTGTTTGTATTGACATGCCACTATGTTGGACAACAAGCGTTGAAGTCTCCTGTGCTCAGCTGCAGTGTTGATGTGTTTGTATAGACGACATGGTCATTTGGGCTAGGCCTGTTAAGAATGTAGGGAAAGTACTGTCCCTTGTGGGACAGACAGATCTAGCTTTGCAGTGGGGGTTTGAAGAGTCAAGATTTCAAACATATATATATTATACTATTAGGCCACACCAATTTAATTTCTTGGTTAACGGATTTTTCTAGAAAAATAATGAAGCGGGCGGGCGAAAAAAAGAAAGAAAACTAGAAAGGCCAATATTTGCTTTGGAGCAAATACAGCGATGGGTTCACCACATTTTACCACATGGCAGGGAAAGAATGAGAAACACAAGGGAAAACAATGATTTAGTAAATTACATTGATATAACTATAATATGAAGTAACATACAACTAAAACAACAGTTGGATAGCTATTCCCTACTTTATTGGTTAGGATTTTTAATTGCATAATGCAAACTGTTGATTTTCAAAATAAAATAAAAAACGTTCATGCCCCGCATTCCATTGCTGGAGCAGAAAAGCTTGAAATACCTACCAAAACACTTGAATAAAGACATACTGTCAGTATGGAAATGCTCTGTGCAGGTGTTAATCAAGTTAAATCCCAACAGCCAATCAGCAAGAAATGCTCTGTGCAGGTGGAAATGCTCTGTGCGGGTGTTAATCAAGTTAAATCCCAACAGCCAATCAGCAAGAAGTATAGAGGAAAGCTGCATGCCTATTGGTTGATGCCCTGCATTCCATTGTGATGACTCATGCCCAGACGTGCCCACGGCCCACTAACACAGTAATACATTTGCTATAACACAGCCAAAAAACTCAAATAAAACCATTCTAAAAGCCTGTATCACAAAAATTTAAAAAACGCCTAGGGGTATTTGCCCACTGTACCTCCATACCAAATTTCAGGACCTTAGGCCCTAAAATGAAGAAGCTGAATCCATTTAAAGATATGGCAGGAGGAGGAGAAGGAGGAGGAGAAGGAGGAGAAGAAACATCAGAAAAAGCAATATGGGTTCACCACCACTTCGTGATGTGGTGAACCCATAATAAAACAGGCCTAGGCATCCTTTTATGGCCCAAAATGGTACGATAGGAGCCATGAAGTCAACACACCATGCTCGTTCAAAATTTAAACAGTGAATTTTGAACTTTTAATGATACCATTGCATTGAAAGATGGAATAACCGTAACAACTAGGATGAAAAGGACTGTTTTCAACTGTTCAGGGCAAAATATGAGCATTTTGCAGTTGATTCTAAATTTTTATTTTTATTTGCAAATCAGAAAAAAATGAAGCGGCGAATCCGTTAACCAAGAAATTAAATTGGTGTGGCCTTATAGTCAAACCTGTACTATAGGGGTCTGGACCTGAACTCTAGAAACACTTAGATAATTTTTCCCATTGACACAAGCATAAGGAATCGTGTCTACAGACTAGTGACCACCTGTCCATATAGACTGCTGGATTTTATTGATCGCCTCTGTTGTCCTGGCATTTTTGGCTGGAAATGTGTTTCAAATTTACTCTCCAAGCAGAGGTTGGTGGGGAAGATTGTTACCTTTCTAGATATTCCCCACCTTTTTTTTTTTGGGGGGGGGGGGAGG